TCTTAGTGGTGGACAGTTGGTCAGCGCCGGTGCCGTAGTCGTAGTCGCCGGCTATACTTCGGGGCATTTTCTTGTGCTTCACGAGCGCCAGTCCCGCCAAATGACTCTCGACGGGAGTGCAGTATGAGTGGGGTATAAAGCCCTCCCGGTGTGTGTCTGCGGCGATCACATACACCCAGTCGTTCTCCTGGTACAACACGTTCACTATCTGTCCCCGACGTACCTCCAGCTCGTCGTCCACACAGGGCTGGAAGTCGTGGAGGACTACCATCTTGGAGTCGGGCGACAACCCGTGCTCTTTCTCGATGCCTACCCTCACCAGTGTCTCGATGGAGGCGCTCCCCGTTATGCGACCGATGGACGGCGGCGTCGATATCTTATCGGTTTCTGTGTATTTATATAATTATAATTTTACAATACTCGAACAAATAATTAATATATTTTATTATATCGATATAATATACTAAGGTAAATCAACATTAATTCCTATGCACTGTATGGGACAAATATTAAGGCATTAAAAAATTATTAAGTACTAACAAGTATAGTATTAGTATAGCTTACAAGTAATTTTTCGAAAACATTAAAAAGTTAATTTCGATGAGATTTAAGACAAAAACTATTATAAATAGCTAACATTAAAAAAGCAATAAATACAATAGTTTTTCAAAACTAAGGACAGACATCAGACAATATGACATTAATTTAATGCACCTTTGAAAAGCAAATGTTATTTGAGAACACATACAAAGTATTGTATACAACACAACAGAATAAAGTTTTTAAATATTATAGAAATGAATGAGAAAATTATTAAATAAATAGTTTAAAGTTACAAACTAAACACAAGTTATAACTGTATAATAAATAAGAAAATAGGTTTCAAAAAGATTTCAGTGGAAGTGATGGGTATGTGAGAGTGGACAGGGATCTGAGTGAGAATTACTGTATGCAACGGAAATGATATATACAATTAAACAATAGTATAAGACTGATTTTAGTAAAACAATGTATAAAAGACTAGTTTTACATAAGCACACAAAGTTTTCTGCAGTGCCTAACTCAATGGACAGGTAGCTATAATTGGTATTACTGTACAGTAATTGCACACAAAGGCAATGGACAGACCTTTTTTCTTTTTGCCTCTTCGGATACGGACGGGACATAAAAAAGCCATAGTTTAGAGTCAGATATGAATAGCCGACAAACGAAAAGGTATTGATTTGATTGAATACAAGACATTCAGGTCTTGTGAACTCCAAAAATCAAAGCCAAACACATCTCCAAATGCTTATGAGATCTGCGCCTTTGTATGGCTACTGATGGCACTGATGGCACTCGTATGATATCCCTTGCCCTCAGAACTACTATACACTCACTCACACCGTCATAGGGGGGAACAGTGTGTGTCTCTCTCAACGACTTCTCAGGTATAAGACTTGTTACCTGAGAAGAGAGCACTACTTCACATACCTGTGTCTCGATCTGCAGCTGCTCTCCTCTCACAGACACACCATCTGAACGAACAGGTATTCTCGAACACAGGTATGTGCCCAACAAAGTGCCAGAACCTCTTCATCATTGAGAGTCACTGCTTATTATGAGGAGAGAGAGAGAGAGAGAGAGAGAGAGAGAGAGGATCTTATTAGGGGGTCAGGTATATAACGATGGAAAGAACAAAATGTTAATAAAAAGTTGCGCTTACAAGTCAGAAAAACTTATACGATATATCTTCATCATTGAGAGTCACTGCTTATTATGAGGAGAGAGAGAGAGAGAGAGAGAGAGAGAGAGAGAGGATCTTATTAGGGGGTCAGGTATATAACGATGGAAAGAACAAAATGTTAATAAAAAGTTGCGCTTACAAGTCAGAAAAACTTATACGATATACCGGTTCCTTTATTACTACTGGCTGTAAGCTCTCTCTCTCTCTCTCTCTCTCTCTCTCTCTCTCCTGTAAAATAAAAACATTTAATATAATAAGACATGAAATATACGTATATCTCAAAGATTCATGAAATAAAAAAAACTATTTGTTTGTTGCAAATGACTTGAATCATGAATTGGTGCTTAAAGTAAAGCATTTACTAAAGAATGTATTTTTATAGACTTCTCATCAGATAGTGTTATAATAATCTATAAAATCAATACTAAATTAAATAGTAAAGGTGCCATAAAAAAAAGAGGTCACAGTTTTGGTGATCAACCCATTTAATTCTTAGCCGCAAAGATTAGGATACCCGTGAATACATGTGGAATGTTTGCATTCAATAAATTCATTTCTTGTGTTACTAAACAAGGTGCAAATTATTTTAGTATAATTAAATAAAAAGCAAATTAAATGCATTTTATATATTGAATGGAGATTTAAATAGCGATTCTCTTATTCTTATCCGCAGTCATCGCAACAGGAATTCCTAATGAATAATAAGAAAAACTCATGAATAATGAGCACCGGGTGCTTAAAAGGTAGGTTTAAATCCCATTCTAATTGGAAAACAAAAAACTAAAGCATTTCGACTAGATTTAAAAGCTGATCATAAAATCACATTAAAATGCTATGAATTAAAAGTTTTGTTACATTTATGCAAACTACATTTATGCAACATAATAGTTAGACTATGAACTGCAATAATGTTTAATTTTAATATTGCAGCGTTAAAAATAATTTGTAATTATAAACATTTAACTAACACTTAAACTTTATAATACATTAAATAAAAACTTATTTGAATAATTAAATAATATTTCCAATTTTATTCATGTTTTGTGGTACAATAAAAAAATAGAAAATTAACAAATCATAAACTTTTTGTTTTGAATTTGAATAAATTGATAATAAAAACAACTAAATCTCTCTCTTTTACATAAATAACAAATAAATTCATTAAAAGACACATTAATCCAAAAATTATATAAATTATAATTCGCAATAATGATGAGTCGTCGGCGCAGCACAGGTATGGCTAAAAGTATTGAGAAAAAACAAACAAAAATATTCAAATAAGTTTTGAATTATTTTAAATGAAACTTTAAAACATTAAAAATTAAATAATCAAAAACAAACCTTTATAGTGAAAAGTATCCCAAAAGTGGACACAAATGTCCACAAAACAAACTGATGAGGAATGGATCCATTGAGTGGTTCGACGACTTTAGTGCTTCCATAATAAGATTTAATAAATCTTACGCTAAAAATATAACGAATCGGATATTTAGTCAAATGAATGAAATGAGTTTTAGTGTCGGGGCACACCTGATGGCAATCCTGGAGCCCATATTGAGACAATTAGCCATAATGAAGCCCTGACTGCCCCACCATTTGGTCAACAAATAGGAACTCATGAGGAATACGACAGAAATATAAATCATATTCTTATTAAACGCATCCAATTGTCTGCTATTCATCGCCGCGAATGTGAAACACTCTGTAATACCATTGATGGCTATAAACAAGATATACAGAGAGTGCCACTGAAGCAGACCAGTGGCCAACCCGTTATCACCGGCACTCAGGGGTCGACCGCCGTATATAAGAAGCGCCAGCTCTGAGTAATTGACGCCAAATATCAATATAATTAAACCCAATAACGACATAATTTTGATGAAATTTCTGAGAATAAGCGCCGATTCGGCTAAATCTGAGGGCGTCTGATCTGCCGGTGCTTTTTGGCGATCCATTTTCTGCGTGAATAACACAAAACCCGACTCTTCGATGGGCTGTAAGATCATGCGCGCCGGCAGTGAACCGATGTTATTGACCACATCGTAGACGCCCTGTTCGGCGAACGTCAGCACCCGGAGGAATGTCATCACAAAGCGCTCGCCTTCTGTCAGGAACTGCTTGAGTGTCGTGTTCTTCAGGAAACTTATGGTTATTATGATCAGAGACCGGTCTATGTAGGGCTGGGATGGGGACGGGTATGTCAGAGAGTTATATCATTTACCGTAGTTTTTGTCTATCAATACCTGATTCTTAGCACTCATTTTAGGCATAAAATCACTGAACCGTCGTTTTTGTACGTAAATAAAGTACACGTAATATAAGCACAGGTAGGACAGGGAGGCGCATATCTGTGCGCCAGAGAACACCAGTATTGCCTTCTGTGGCCATCGAGACACCAGAGCCACCATTAAGAGGGTTCGGGTCATCAGAAAGAGGCCGTCGGCCATGACTTTCAGTTTTATAAAGCCCTGAGTCTGTGCCCACACGTACAGGGGTTCGGCCAACAACTCAATGACCACCGATGAGAATATGCAGACAATGCCTGTCCTGTAATCCGGACACAATTGAGGGTCCGGTCGCTCCAGAGTGTGATACCATATGAGCGACAGAATTGTGCCGAAGACTAGAGATAATGGGATCCTATCGGTGGTTAGGAAACAGATTACAATCCATTAGATCATTGATAAGACTCTCTCTCTCTCTCTCTCTCTCCACTTACGAGAGACTAATAAGTCGTACGACTTGTGGCCAGTCATGTGTTTTGGTGGCACCGGTACTGACCCGACGGAATGGCTCACGACTTAAGAACTGAATGGTTGTGTACAACAGCAACAGTCTTGTGGACCAGAAACGAGATAATTATCTCAAGTGATTACAAGACATGCACTTTTCTACCTGACATTAATCACTCCAAACACATCCCGACTAATAGACCTTAAGATGACAGCATTGGCCACAAATGTCACGATTCTTAAGCTGATCTGTGATTGAGATGACAATCACCACAATCAGTAGGGATTGTATTGAATGGACGGGTATTGAGGAGAGACTGACCTGTAATAGGATGTTATAAGTGGCCGATCGTGTGGCCAACTGTAGTGTCGTGTCCACGGGTTTAGCGCTCATTATCTTAATGCTGACCACAGATGACAGGTTGTGGTGATCGGTGTCTTAGCGTCCGATTCATACGATTTGAATGCTTTGACAGACACTAAGAGTTTGTGTAATGTTTTGAATGAATGCCAAACATATGAGACGTAAACACATGAATACACGTGTCGTTCGCATCCAATGGCATAACACAGCAAACGTATGGTTTGTTTGCATTCAAAGTGCGGTTCATTTGAATGAAACACTCATTTGTTTCATAATTTGTTTGTTGAAGTATTTAAAANAATGTTTTGAATGAATGCCAAACATATGAGACGTAAACACATGAATACACGTGTCGTTCGCATCCAATGGCATAACACAGCAAACGTATGGTTTGTTTGCATTCAAAGTGCGGTTCATTTGAATGAAACACTCATTTGTTTCATAATTTGTTTGTTGAAGTATTTAAAACTTGTAGACAATTACTAAACACTTTGGATATCCCAACACATCCTAACTCGTGAGTAAAGTTGAGACACAGAGGCAGAAGGAATGGATGCAATGGAATGGTTGGAACCGATGGCAACAAACTTACTTTCAATGATGAGTGAAGGAAAGGGTGACAAAATGGTTATATGAATTGGATTGGGAACAGGAGGTCACCTGTAGGTTCAAAGTTGTTAAACAAATCAATTGCATTACTCGTTACCATTGTACTGATAACTACTTTAATTATCGTAATTTAAACTTTAAATATGCAGTAAAAAACTTTATTATTAAACTAGTACAGTACCGTACATTGCTTGTCATACACTCATCAAATTGAAAATTAATTTCATTCATTGAATACAATATTTTATACGAGTACACAAAAATCAAGTACCGTAAGGTATTCCATAATAATAATACAATAATAGTCTCAAAAAAATAATTACAATTAAAAATAAGTTATAAGAAAATGTCAATAAATTAATTACCAATTAAAAAATGACAATTAAATCACATAAACCGCTAAATTAGTGTCACTTTTTGGACTTTTTCTTAAGCATTTGCAGTCGTTTCTCAACGCCGGCACCACTGGTGGCCTGAGATGGGTTAGCACCGGCACTATTGCCGTTCCCGTTGTTTCCACTCTTACTCTTAGAGTTATTGCCACTATTACTACCAATAGATGCGGAACGGCTTATGTTAGCCAACGCCGCCAAACCAATAGGTTTAGCCGACTGTGAACTATTAGCACCAGCGCTGGTAGCTGTGGATGTCTGGCCAGTCATCGACACCTTTGGCTCGCGTTTAAAGGGCTGAATAAGTCTACTAATGGCGGGAGCAGTCGATTCTGAGCCGCTGTCGCCCTTTGGATTCGCTTTACTGCCGGGAAGTGAGTACTCCTTTGATTGCGGGACAGGAAGTGCGGCAGTGGGTGCGGGCGGCGGACCTTTTGCGCTACTTTTGGCCGGTTTTACAGCAATTTTCTTCATAGTCTTCTGACATTTAGCGCAATACCAGACAAACCGCGGGTCAGACACGTCGAGGTCCAGGAGTGGCGGTTTGTGGCACTCCTGATGGTAGAGATTATGGCACTCCTGGCACTCGACCAACTGATTCCCCGGTGCGATGTCTATCTGTTTGCAGTGAACGCACGCCAAACCCATTTCCACCGCAAACTCTCCGGCATCTGCGGTCTCGTCCTCGATATCCGTGGCCTCCGAGTCCTCCTCAGTGGCTCTCATGGCTGTGGGCGCTGTTATCGTAGAGATACCGGTGCTGGTAGTGGTCGGGCCTTCAGTGAACTGGTACTCGTCGATCACATTCACAGTATTACTGGACAACTGAATGGATGATAGTTTTGGTGGCATTTGAAGGACAGCGCCGATGGGTGTGGGCGACGATGTGGTGGAACGGGATGTCTGTTGCGGTGCATCCAAGCGCTGTCTCTTGGAGGCCAACGGGTACTCAAAACTCTCGCTTCGGTACTAATGAACGGGAAATACATTTTGCGGTCAATTATAGCGACAGTTGTCTGCAAACGATATAATGGTTTACTTTATCGAAGTTTGTGTCAAATCTCTTGGTGTCCGAGAAATCCCTTTTGTAATCAATGGACGACTTTATAACAGCCGTTTCGATGCCCTTCAATGGTTTCGCTGAAGACTTTTGGTCCTAAGAGTGGATCAAATCATGTGACAAAATGTGCAGATTTGTGCGATTGTCTCACCTGTCGGGACCTATTCCTCAGCACCTCATCCAACATAGCCTTCAATATGTCGGCCGAGTCTTTGGCGCGACTGTGAAGAAGGCGAAGAACCCTCGAGAAGTCCTGAAGACTATCGACACTCGTGTCCGACATTTGGTGTCAAATGAATGTCACTTTGGGTTCAATTCAAAACACAAAAACACAAGAAAAACTCAATTCAGTCCATAAATAATGTCATAAAAACTTAACATTTATTTGACCCCTAAGTTCACAATAGATATACTAATTATGATAATTAGTGAACTATTAATTAAAATTTATTATAAGGATTGTTGATTGTTTGTTAATAAAATTGTTTTAATTCAATATTACAAGTGGTTGTAATATCTTAATCTGATTTTAATCACAATTTGCAGTCAAACTCCCGATAATTAATGAGACGTCCTATATGTGTGGCCCAAATACCGCCAAATGACTGAGCGTTTAGTTTCGTAGAAATATTTGGTCTTTAATTTGATCCACACTTTGATCCATAGGTTAACCATATGTCTCAAGACGTGTTCAGCGATTCCCAACTCTTTGGCGACGGCAGTGATGCTGGAGGTGATGGTGATGGCAGTGGTAGTGGTGATGAGGGACAAGAGGTGCCCTTAAGTCAGATGTCCTCCGGAGCCGATGTGTTGAACGGAAAGGAGACACTCATGAAGACTAATCTGTCTGAAGAGCAGATCCAGAAGACCAGAGAGACGTTACTAGACATCGACGCGCAGACCGATGAGGCCGAGAAGTGTGACACTATCTCCTCATCCATTGGTCACCTCTCGAAGCAATTGAAACGTCAGGACAAGTGCTTCATCGACGGCGGTGTCAGTGATGTGATGCCATTGGAGTCGACTGTGTTGCGGAAGAACACGGATAACACCCTTCAGTTGATCCGTAAGATGCAGACCGACAGCAAACAGTTCGACGCCATGGAGTTCGCGGAGAAACTCTTGACGGCAATCAATCCCTTCCATCGCATCGGGGGATCAGATGCCGGCGCCGCTGATGACGATCACAACCGCACCGCTGATAGCGAGACGGGTATCGATAGGTCTGATTGGGTGGAGTTCGGGCGCCAGAAGTGTCGCTTTCATCGCGATTTGCCGCCATTTGTCTTCATTCACGGCGCGTCCGAAGAATATTCTGGTCGCGCGAAATGATGGGGCGTTTGAAGACTTTGCGACTCCGGAAGACGATCCAAATGCTGCCGTCAATGGTGGCGATGCCGGCGCTGATCTGATTGCGTGCACCGACTCTCACGAACTTATTTGAGGACAACTTCTCGATAATCCTATTCATGGCTCCGAACGCTTGGATCGAAAGGTGTCCACAGATTGTCGTCGAATCTCTTGAGCGCCAATGGATTCAACACTTCTCTCGCGATCTTAAGCTCTCCTTAAGCGCCGGTCAGCTCTTCTGCTCTTCTCTCGTCTTTCAAAGCAAATGAAATTAATTTTATTGTTGTTTTCAAATAGTATTAAAATTGATTTTTTAAATGACAAACTATTTGATAAATACAACTGTAATAGTTTGTACAACGAATACAATTTGTTTTATTCAATCAAATATACCATAGACTATATATTTATAAATGGATTTACAAATAATTACAAATAATTATAAACCCATTTTAACTAAAACTCGGGTCAATTTTAGCCACCTCTCTAATAATGGCATTATATTTATTTCTCGTGGATCTATCGATATAGCCATTCAAGTGGTGCCACTGTATGGACACTACTTTAAAACCGAGTCTTTCAAGTAATCTATTTTCCAATTTCACAGATCCTTTCATTTGTTTGCCTACTATTGAGTAGTCATCGCTTAACAACACATTAATAGCTATACAATCGCTAAACATATTTTGTTTCAATTCTGTTGTGGGAGTTAACGAAAAGTGTTTGTCATTTGGAGCCCATATCACCACAAATGGAGAGCTTCTGAAGGGAAATATGTGACACAATTGCACTCTTTGTTGTAGACCTGACTGCAGACATCTATAGATAGTGTTCAACGATTTATGTCTTCTGGTGGTGTGAGGGATGGACTGCTTCTCTTCAGCGAGAATCCAGCGGTGATAGCAATACACCCGTTGCGGGTCCACCAGAATGTCACCAAATTCTTCGTACCTTTCTATGGATAGCGTCGTATTCATTGTCAGCAATTGTCTTTGAAAGTCAAGCCGTGAATATTCTGTGGAAATACAAAATTATTCATAAAATACCACAAAAACTCATTTTAAATCCATTAGTAATAGAATTAATTAAATAGCTTATAATGTATGTAATGTCTACAGCATATGAATGATTGCATACATAACTTACTGGTTATTTTGGCCACAAAACTGGGTTCAAAGCAGTGCCGAAGTAATAACTTTGGATAGATTTGCAAAATCGCTAAATAACGCAAAATACTTAGCAAACAATGCGGCAATTGATACGTCTGGAAGTGATCTGCATTTGTGTGTAATTCATGGCAAATATACTCCACTTTCTTGGGATCTAATTCGTGGCTAAAATAAGATAAACACATGAATACGCGTTCAATGTCTTTAAGACGGAAAGCCTGCGGATTGTCATAAAGTTTGTCAAACGTGTGATCCATGAGCTCCTTATCACAGACATGGGCCATGCATTTAAGATGCAGTAAATGAGTGGAAGTGATCGTATCATTAGTTGACAATTGTTTCAATTTATCGATGTATTGACCCAATTGTGACCGAAAGTGGGAGTGAATGGGGAAGTGATATGAATGTCGGATGCATTTCGTGATCGACGTTCGTGTCATACCATTGGTCTCATCCGAGACATCGCTAATGGATTTGCCGATAACTGTGGTCAACAACTGATCCGTCAGTTTAGTGTTTGTCTTAAAACAAGACATACAAAACACTCCCAATTCATCCAAATCCATGTCAATCACCAAAGTCTCCATTCGTCTCATTATATATTCAGCAGCTTTTGGGTCAAGCCTTCGGTGAAGATTCGCGTAAAACAAGAGGTGAAGAATCGATGTCTTATTCAACTCGTGGTCAGAAGAACTCAATCTCTTGACTAAAGTGTCGTTGAATTGAGTGATGTTTGCGGTCTTCAGTCTGTAAAACATGTTTCCAAACAACAGATATTTCTCCACATCTTTGTCGCCATTCAACTGATCCGCTGTCAGCCTATCATCCAATTCGTGGTCTATATTAGACCACACTTTATAGTATAACGGATCAAACGTGAGCTCAAGAACCGGCCATTTGGTCATCGATTCCAAGACAGACAGCAATTGTCTGAAACTCAATGACTTTACCGCTCGCACCAATTCGTTGATAATAATTGGATTGTCTCTGAATTCTTCGGGAGGAATGGCTATAAACTTATCGATAATATGATCAACGGATCCATTAGTGCCCACGTCTTCACTTATATCAACCGATTCTTCGCTTATAAGCGATTCGATGACTTTGAAGGCGAACTGATTCTCGTAATCATTGAATACTATTCTCTTGGAAGAGACACTACTGGACACAAGTGTGTGGTTGATGTTCAGCTGTTGATGGCACGCAAAACGCTTCCAACACTTCCAGTGGCTGTCGGCAACCACTCTAACCACGAATTGGCCGCAAACGGGTCTTGAGATGAAGCATTTCTTCAGCAATATCTGATGTCCACTCATGAGTGATGCCATAAACGGCAATTTCAGATATGATCGCTTGAATGACTGCATGATTGAGACCACAATTTGTCACAACTCTAGTAATCACTGAAATTACATCAAAATGTATTGAATTGACAAATGTTTGAAAACTTTCAACTTTTGTTGTCAACACATGTTTGCAATGTTTGTATTGAAGGGCGCCCTCTAGTAGTGACACAAACACTGCATTCAATACACCATTCATTGACAACAAGCGACACATTAGTCCCGAAACACGTGCTTATTATGTCCTCATTCACGAAGAAGTCACGCGTTGTGGACATCGATGGCCACCAATTGAACCTCATATCCATCGCCAACCTTAACCTCTTCATCATCACCGACATGTCAAACATAGCTCCCAATTGGATCCAAGTTCTGTACGTCAAACACAACCAGATCTACACCACGAAGACGCTCTTGGGATCAGATGAGTCCCAATTGGCACCCATTTGTCGATATTTGGCGCAAACACTGATCGATGGCAAGAGCGCCACCATTGGTGCCGGTGCTGGCCTTCACGACACCGCCGGTGACACAACGGGTGCCGAAGACCTTGTCTTAACGTTCAATATATCGCTGAAGTCGTTGAATGTGGAGGACATGGATGTGGTCCGAGAGTTAGCTAAACATTTGTTGGATTTATAGCCACTTATCATATAATTATGTCTTATTTTTGTTACCATTTGTATGTATTTTTGATAACTACTTAATTGTAGGACATATACCTATAAACACATAACATAATTAACTTTTAATCCATTTGACTAACGATTACATGATTTACTAAATGTATATAAAAAATAAAATAAAAGACAAAATAAATCAAAAATACAATAATAATAATCATTGAGTCGATTGAAGCGTCGGGAGGGCTGTCCACCCAAACACATCTCAAAATAAGCTCTAATTCTTAACAAAATAATAATTCAAATATAAAAATATATTCTGAATATTGAGATAAAAAGCAAATTCAAAGAATTGGTCCATTGAATGGAGATCGCAATGACTCAGACATACGGTGTCTATCGGGGACAGAGGGCGTGTCGGCCCCCATCGACAGGCAGTGTCGCGCCGGTGATGAAGGAGGCGTCGTCTGAGGCGAGGAATGCTATAGTGTTGGCCACTTCGTGGGCGAGTCCGGGTCGGCCTAAGGCATGAGTGGTGCGGCTGTGCTCCAGGAACTTCTCAAACGCCTCGGCCGACAGTCCGCCCCTCATCTGTAGCCCAGTGTTGATGACCCCCGGGTTGACGGCATTGACGCGCACGTGTTTGGGCGCCAACTCGATGGCCGCGCATCGCGTCAACTGATCCACGGCTGCCTTCGCTATGCAATAGGACAGTACGTTAGGGAAGGCCCGCAACCCGTTAACGCTCGACACGTTCACGACATTGCCTTTGCTGTGCACCAAATGGTCGGCCGACAGCATCATTAAGTGGTAAACCGTCCTCAGGTTCACATTCATCACGCGATCAAACTGTTCCAGTGATGTGCTCTCGATTGAGCCGAACTCTATGATACCGGCGCTATTCACCAGTATATCCAGGCGCCCGAAATGAGCCACCGTTTGGCGCACCAGTTGCTGGGCGTCCGTCTCGTCGGTCAGCTCGCATTTGGTCACAAGAATGGTGTCGTCCGACTGATAGGCCGAGTGTTTGGTCAGACACTTGTTCTTCAGCTCCCGTATGGCCGACACATTACGTCCAGTGAGTGACAGTTTGGCCCCCAATTGGCTGAATGCCAGCGCTGTGGCCCTCCCTATGCCAGAACTCGAGCCTTCAATTCACATATAAATTGCTATTAATATGGCATTCATTGGATTCACAGAAAAACTTCGTAAAAATAAATACATTTTGTAATAAATATAACATTTTTTTTATATTTTCACAATTCTATACATAATATAAAATTTACAGTGAAATCATAAAAGTAATGAAATACAAAACTACAGAATATTCTGTGACTAGAAAACCATATTCAAAGATAGCGCTCACAAACACTATTCACTGAACATATGATTTAAATTTTGCACAAAAACTATTGTTTTTCTCATTGTATTCATTGCCTTAAAAAACAAGTGAAATACAAATCTCTGGACAAATAATATTCAACACAATTAGAGGTAATTATAAGTTACATCCATTACATATATGATATTATTGTCCGGCTAATTATCTTAAAAACCTGTAATGAGTGCCACTTTTGATGATAATTTCCGCACCGTTGAGGCCATACTTTTCGTATACAGAAATTGTCTGTTATTTTGCAATAATTTTACTATTGATTTAACTTTTCATATATTAATTCAATGCAAATATGAGTAAAACAATTAACACAATATTGTCATAAATATGTCTAAATTAAACAGTTTAATACGAGTCCCTAATGTTTACGCACACATGTTATCTGACGTATAGTTTGCGCATAAATGGCTTAACTATAGCGCTGTACGTGTTGTGTTATATGCCTTTTATGGGCGATTATGTAATTAATTATCATGGTAGTGATCTAATATGCTAATTAATCATTAAATCTGTAATTTGTGTTAAATCTGACACTTAATTAGAAACCATTAGATATTACAACAAATATCTCACTGTTTTGTGTCATATATTTTCATGTCTTAAGCGATGATCACATTGAGGACAGCGTTGAACGCCAACCAAACTCTAAGACATCACTTCATAATCAGTTATAACAAACAGATCGTGAGTTCACTGTTGAACAGGGATTTAGTGAACACCGATCGGCCGGTGCTGGTGGACAGGTGTTGCGGAAATGGCTTCCCTGTGGTGATCAGCAAACGGTTTGGGCGCCGGTATCGCAAATGGCACCACTGGCCCAACGATTTCCTACCATTTTATTGGGAACGTCAGCGACAACTGCCCGGACACTTGAGAACCGGTATGTCGTAGCCATCCCTTACCACTGGTCTTATGATTGTATGAATGATCAGGTGATGAGGTGCAGGACATCGGCACGTGGGATAAGAAGGCTCTCATTCTGGACGCACAGTTCAGTGAGGAATTGAAAAAGTATTTTCAGTTTTAAGTCTTTTCCCATTCAATAATAATTGTCTGTATTTTCAGTGCACCGGAAGTCGTGAGACGACAGTTCACTCTGGAGTTCGCCGAAAGAGTATTGCATTCATTACTTCTTAATACTTATTATGAATGTTGTTGTCATCAACTTTTTGATTAATTTAACAGAAAGAAGTTGTGAAATACCAAAAACACCACATTATGGAAGTCATGCGAAGGCATCCCATGGACAAGACATCCCCTGAAGCCAGAAGTGAGTGCCCACTAAAGCATACATTGTTTGCTATATCTTACAATAATATCTGTAATTATGTTACGTTTAATTTCCAGTTACCGACTATACGGTTAAGATTCGCAACTTTTTGCACCACTTCCTCAAAGTTGATCCATGGGTTCGTATAATTCTTAACCATTCAATTGAGTTTGAGAAGATTGGATGCATTTTAATACTAGATTTAGTGATCGATTTGTATTTTTATTACCGCTTTACTGTAAATTAATTAACCCTTGTATGAGATACTGCACACAAACAACCCACTAATTCCCCAAACACTCAATCCATGCATTTATTACACAATTTACTGATTGATTAACTAATTGTGAGTCCAATGAATAGGCGGCGAGAATGAAGATAATCAGCAATGGGTTGACATTAAAGCGGAACAGAATGTTGAATGAGTTGTACTATACGGACAGAGAGAGGTTTGATTTCGTGACCAAATCACTCAAAATAACATACAGTCCGCCGAAGTTGGGAGAGATATACCGAAAGCCCACACGTAAGGGCGAGTTGAGACGACTGGCCACTGAGTACTGCGACAAAATCAAAACCGACAAACTGGAGGCCTATCACCAGAAGCTGATCCAAGAGCAACAGGAGTTCGAGAAGAATAAGGAATCTGTTGAGCAGTGGATCAAAGACGAGGAAAAATTTTTGGGTATATCTGTCTCACAAGTCAAACCAAACCCATAGCATATACCGTACTTTATATGACACTTAAAATCATAATTAAAATAAACTAAAATGTTGCGATAACTTGTTGTTTATTACATTTTATTTCTAATTACAATTAAATACAAAATACTATTAATTAACAAAATATATGCTATCAATGGCAGAGAAAACAATCAATAATTAGTTCAGAAATACTGTATTTATATAAATGTGAGAATCAAATGGTCGGGTAATAGAAATGACTATCAATTAGTGGTAAATACAATCAATTGGCGGACTTCTTGACGTGTTTGATGGCAGCCTTTTTGATTTCGAAACGTCTGCACCACTCCTGCCAGTCCCTCATTGTAAAGCTCATCACAGACTGAATGCCAGCCCCCGAGCCCTCGTCCATATCTGCCGAGTTGTCGCCATCGACCGACTGAATCCCTGGCCCGTCCTCGTTGTCATCCACCACTCGCACCAACCCGTCCTTCACGAGGAACGCCGTATGGAATATATTCTCTACGGTTTCGGACATCGACTTGGGATTGGCTAAGACGTTGAAGAACGGCAGACACTCCGCCTCCTTATTCTTGTCCTCCAGTTTCTTCACGGTATTCAGTATGAGCTCAACCTCTTCGGGAGTCCTCTCCTCATCGATATTGTCCTTCAGATTGATTTGTGTCGCCTCTGTTTGGGCCGACAGTTGCGGCTTCGGTTGTCGGGCGCGCGGCTTAGGGTCCGGCCGTTCGCCGGCCTCGTCGTCCATCCCTTCGGACGCGCCGTGAATGAAGACAAATGGCGGCAAATCGCGATGAAAGCGACACTTCTGGCGCCCGAACTCCACCCAATCAGACCTATCGATACCCGTCTCGCTATCAGCGGTGCGGTTGTGATC